GTGCCCGTTAGTCGGGGGGTGCCCGTTGTGCGTCCGATCGGGGTGCGCAAGGGCTTGAATGATAGCTGTGAGCGTTGTGATTAGAGTTAGGCGCGAATTAGCTATGTGACGGGAGATACTGCGGGACAATATTGACATTTAGAGGCTAATTGAAGCTAGGTGGACGGAGTGTCGAGACGATCACTGCTGCTTGACACGCTGCGGCACCCATATATCTGCCGCTACCGGTCGGATTTAGCTTCCAAGTAGCATTGCAGAGAACTGTAGTCCAAACCTACACGATGCAATTGGTTTGAGGTCGATTGGAGCTGTGTGGGTGGAGATCTGCCTGGTGGAGCAAATGAGAGGCTACTCCACCGGCGGAGCAAATAGCATTGCCGAAAACTTTATTTTGGACCTCTCCGGGGGGGAGGGAGCCCCCCCCTGTTGCTTGTGCCGAGAGAGAAGAACAGAATCTAACCAAAGAAACCAAGGAAAAGGAGGTTCTTGAATTGTTAAGAAATGTTGGAAGAAGGAATAGGGTTCAAGGAGTACCTACATGGACCAATTGATGCCGGGACAGAGCTGAAGGTCTAGTTCAGTTTCGGGGACATTGGCACTCGAGAACCAAGCCGAAGATTTACGAAGGTATGTAGGCGATGAAGACGAAAAGTAGTTCAAATGTGATCGCGGCTCCGAGTGCGAAGGCCTTGTTCATCATGTAGTTGCGGAATGCTCGTTTACAAGAAGGAGAGGGAGGTGGACATGACGGAGCTGCGAAAAATAGAAGGGAGATACAGGGAGATGATTGAGGCATGGAATAGCCAGGAGAAGACGGTAGCTGTACTGGGGCATAGGAAGTGGGTTGAAAAGGCGGGAAGTGATATTGATAGGACAGATGGACTAGGGAAGGCATTTTTGAAAACTTTTGGCAAGTAAGAAGAAACGGTTGACCATCGGTGATCGGTCCTGTGGGAACACAATTCTCCGTCCTCTCGAGAACGCGTGGTCAATGGTGTTACCGCTAGGGCATGCAAAACATTGGAGAACCCCCCCCTCCCCAACGCCATACAATTTCCTATGTAAATCGAGTCCATACAAAAAAAACTATATAAAGGGGGCACATTTCATGCACGGGGGTAGTACAATCCATGTCGCCCCTGGGCGAGCTTGCCTGTACCGCAGCCGACCTAACCGTAGCGCAGGTTGGAGGAGGGTTAGGGTTAGGGTTAGGGGGGAAGAGGGAGGATGGAGGCGCTCGAGGCGAAAGAACTCGAAGAAGCGGCCGGTTAGTCTTGTTGAGGAAGAAGGTGGGCTTGATAGTATGTCAAACATACGGCAAATTGCATTTGTGTACGGGTGTTGCACGTGGCGAAGGTGTAGCCACCACCGTAGGCTTATCGCCAGCCCTTCTCCGGTTTTTTTCCGGCTTGAGTAAGCTTGGGTTGATGATATTCGACGCATGGTGTTGATGTGTTATTTGGTTCTGATGTGCCGTTTGTTAGCATCTTGTGCTTACTTCCTTCCGTACGAATGACAGCTGCGTTGACGTAATTTACTTTCTGGTGCTTTCGATTCCAGGGACAGTTGTAAGCACTGTGTAACTGCCTCGAGGGTGCTTGAGCAATTTAACACAACGTGGTGCAATCATCCCCTTTGCGCGGATTGAGGGTTGTCGATCCCGCACAACATAATCTACTCGACCACCAACGATTCATGGTTACCGCAAAAAAAAAAGGTCCCGAGCTCACGAAGCGATCGGCTTGTTTTACAACGTCGCTGCCAAGCCACGAAAACCCATGTCAGGAAAAATCGTGCGTTGAGCCCACCAGTAGTTGGACACGGCTTGACCTTTGAGTACGATTGCAATAACTAGTCTGCGTAGCAGTAGAAAAAAATCTATCTCTCCGTGGCATGTATTCTCTTGTTCTAGAAATATTCCGGAAGCATGCTAGGTAAGGTCGACCGGGACATCTACGTAGAACGTGCATAGCTTCTGAAAACCTTCCGGAAGCTTCTGGAAGCTTCTGGAAGCTTCTGGAAGCGTTCTAGACCTAGGTTGTACTTGATACTCTTCTAGAACGTAGGAAGGCTTCCAGAATCATTCTGGAAGTATTCTAGATCTTTCGTGTGATTGGCTTATTTGTTCGGTATTCGAGGAGAGTGGTGCAGCCCTAAGCTCGCCACCCCTCTCACTCCTCTTCAGTACCAGCAACATCAATCTGACTCGGGAGACAGCAATAAATAAAGACATCTTCATATTTCCATTTCAAGTCTCTCGCGGTTGGAGCCGCACAGAGTGTGAACCTCTGAGGTAGGCGACACAGCCTCCTGGCATCTGCAGCATCGTACTGCTGCTAGTGCACAGCGAAATTACGCTGACAACCCAACCCTGAACACCGGGGGGCCCTCCGGGGGGGGGGTTAGGTGTGCGGGATAGTCTAGTCCTTGTTTTTGATTGCATGGCCCAATAATGCCAGACCCTCCCCCCCACACCCCCAAAACGAAAGAAACAATTGAAACGTACGTATAAACACAAACGAACAAAACACAGACTACATACCCTCGCGGAGGCCCAGTGAGGTAGACTAGTCGCCATGCACTTGGGTTTCTCTCCGTCCACTCCTCTCTTAATTGTTGCCGTGCGTTTGCGATTGGTGATTATGCACAAGGAATAGAAGGTCGAAAGGACGGCCGCGAAAGAGGTCACCCACTTGCATCAAAGAGCTTAGACTATGATGCGTCATCTTGATATTAGTCTTCTAGTAGTAGATATGCTTTCTTCAGCTTTTTTTTTGCCTTTTTGTGTGTTTTGTTGCACGTGCTAATCCAATACAAGTTTTCGGATCGGCAAAATCCACAAATAAATGTTGGGAACATGGGCACAACAGCATTATAGCGCTCCTTTTACCACGCTTGTTCAACAGATGACAGTGAGTGGTGTACGGTATTGGTGATGTAGCGGCAGTGTGTATCGGTTGAACTGCTGCTGTAGATCATCTGATTGGATGGTTTGAATATCAGAACTGTCTGTCTGTGTAGTTCCAGAGAAAGTTCCTTGTGGAAGTTAACTGTTCGGAGTTGGATCAGCAGATAGTCAGTAGGGTGCACGTTAGGTGCACGTTAGGTGCACGTTGTGTGGACGTTGCATGGATGTGGCACGTGGGATGATTACCCTCAACAGGAATTGTTCTAGTTCGGTTGTAGGGATCGGAACATTACGTTGTTGGAACGTTGCGAGTAGTATATTGTTCCGATAGTGTTTGTGTTGGCGTGTTGATCGTTGGCTGGGGTGCTGGGAGCACACGAGCTAGCCCCCACACGCTGTCACTCCACTTTGCCTACCTGTCTCAGAGGGCAGTTTCTCAATAATACAACATCTTTCTCCAAGAGCCAAGGGTTTACCAACAC